CACACTAGTTTCCCTCCTTACATTCGGTCTCTTCCATTCATTGTAATAAATGTTCTTTTTTTCTGGTATTCTCCTGCTTCTGCTGCTTTGTCTTAACCTTTGTTTGTAATTTTAATTGTAGATTAGATTAGAAATTGCTTACCTTGTTGCAATTACTTACACAGTAATTATTTATAAAATCGTATGGAGGACAATTTGTCTCTGTCGAATATATGGTTGTAACAAATATTAAAGTATATTTATACTTTGCTTATATGTAGATTTAATGAGATTAATTGAATAAGAAGGAGATCCGTAATATATTGTCAGTATTATGGGATATTTACTGAAGAAAAAAATCAGTCTTCAGTATGAATTAAAATCAAATCTATTTTCTTAAAAATAGTTTAAAAGTGCTAAGGTTAAAGAAAAATTTGTTTCTTTTATTATATTCTTTATTATTACGATGTTAATATGAAAATTATTTTAGCATAAATGTAAGAATTCAAGTAGATATATAAATATTATTTTTCTTGTACGTCAATGAACTAGAAACGCGCATAAAACGATGACAGGTGAAAATAAATCTACATGAGACAGATTTCGACAAGTAAAGTCTTGTCTTTTTAAATATTTATTAATCCGTAGTTAACCTCACGCTAAGTGCGGAATGTTTCTTAAGAGATTCTGACAGTATCCTTAAAAAAATTAATTTCCGAATAATTCACAGTTATTTAATTAATTCATAAAAATGTGAATGGATTTACAGCAAGGATTCACACGTCTAGAAAAAATTTAAAATTCCTACCAGGTTCCTTTAGGTATTAGTACAAATATTAGGATGTCCCACAAAATATTGTGTGTTATTACCAATTTTTTCGTTATTCTCTTTGTCATCAATGAAATAGAATCACATTTAGAATGACAGGTGGTCGTCTTTCATTTGAAACTTACGACGTAATAAGTTAATTGTTCAAGTAATTACACAGTAATTCTCATAAGGAATATGTATGAGAATTTTATCCTTCATGTACAAGTGGAATAAATTGACTTAAATAGAAAATTTATGTTAACATATACATATAAGTTCTTACTCGCAAAAAAATGTATACCCTTAACATCTAAACGACTGTATACTATTAATGGTACTCTTTCTCTAAAGTTAATTCTCGCTTAGAAATAGAAACTGAATGAGTATAAAAAGAATTTATCACTATTCTTATACAAAATCAATTTATTTATTTTTCTGTAATATATTAAAATATTTAGTAACTGTTCACACAACAAAAATAAAAACCAGAAATCGAGTATATATAACAAATACATAATGAATATAATCAGAAACTAAAATAAGAAAAAACATCTTTATTTTGAATCATACTTTTGTTACAAAATTGTATAAAACAGTTTTTAATTATTTATAAGTAGAATGATCACTT